TTTATATGAAAACATTCAGTAATTTCTACTGCTCTTGGTTTTCTCTAAGTCCTAGTTTCTCAACCTGGCCTTTAGCACCATAGTGAAATTCCCTGAAGTTTGTATAGCTTAAGCCAAATGAGCAATGTGCCTTTTATGCAAATGTGTTCTAATAAATGGAGGAAAAAAAGCCCAGTACAGTAAGTGCTATTGGTTGCTTATTGCATTGTTAAATCTCTTCAGCTGGTCAATTCAAATATTTGTCATAGAATATTTCACTTAATTTATTTATTACATATTTTGGGAGTACTTTCTTGTTTCTGTTCCGGCTGGGGAGAAAGAAGGATGACGGACTTGCCAGACCAGAGGGGAAAGGCCAAGTCACGACATCCCTGGGAAGGGGCATTATCTTGGCAAATACACAGATTTCTGCCTGTGATTTTCTTTAAACCCTCTTAGCCCTGTGAGTGCTGTTAATTTGGTGCTGATGTCCCTTCATGACCACCCATTTGCTCTCATCCTATGTTTTCTTTATCACATTAGTTATTATGTGGGGCCATTTGTACAGTGTTTACTTCTCTGTAAAACTGAGTTCCACGAGGCTGGGGATTTTCTCTCCATTGTGTCCCACCTCCCAACCTCCTGTCCAGGACACAGTGGGTACTCATTAAATACCTGTAGACTGAAATAATGGACTCAGCAGTTCACCCACACTCCTGGCACTGTGCTCAGTGGGGAAACTGAGGATAGAGTGTCTAAATGACCTCTGTGGGTTAACCTTTCTTTTGAGAAAACAGTGTGTACATTAAATACCTGTAGACTGAAATAATGGACTCAGCAGTTCACCCACACTCCTGGCACTGTGCTCAGTGGGGAAACTGAGGATAGAGTGTCTAAATGACCTCTGTGGGTTAACCTTTCTTTTGAGAAAACAGTGTGTTAGTTCCCTCAGGCTGTTGAAATGAATTAACCACAAACCTAGTAACTTAAAACAGCACATGTTTTTTTCTTATAGTCCTGGATGTCAGGAGCTTGAAATCAGTCTTTCGAGGCTAAAATCAAGGTGTCCGCAGGCCTGCGTTCCTTTGGGATGCTCCAGGGAGAATGTGTCTCCTTGCCTCGTCCAGCTTCCAGAGGCTCCTGTGTTCCTTGGCCTATGGTCTCTTTCTCCAGGATCTTCAAAGTACATCACTCCAATCTCTGCTTTTTTGACTCTGGGCCTCCTGTTCTTGTAAGGGGCCTTGAGATTACACTGGGCCTCCTGAACAATCCAGTATACTCTTCCCATCTCAAGATCCTTAAATTAGTCACATCTGCAAAATCCCTTGTGCCATATAAGGTAACATTTTCATAGGTTCTGGGTTTAAGATGTGGACATTGGGAGGGTCGTTGTTCTGTCTACCACACACAGAATCTTTGAAAAGGGTCCTGTTGGCTGATCTGGCAGACAGAATGTACATGGGCTTCCCTGGGAACATTACCTTTGGCTAAGATGATATGATACTCTGGACCTTACCTGTGAAGTTAATAAGATGAGCTTGGGAGAGCAGAGATGGGCTTGCTCATTGAAGTAAAGAGAAATGCCAATGAAGGCATTCTAGAAAGTTATTTCCTGGGGAAAAGGAGCCCACAGTATACCATGGCTGGGCCAGAGGTAAACAAGCCTGCTGCTTAGAGGCAAACAGGGTTTGTTCTCTTGGAGAACAGCAGACCTTACTTGGCCTTCAACATTTAAGTATAAAGTCTCATAAAAGGTGCAAATGACTTTTATCCTGTCAGTGCCCTCTCAGGAGTTATTAGTCTATAAATTCATAGAAAACCTATAAGGATGTAGTGCTTGCCCCAGAGTGAATGGTGGGGTTGGGGGAACAAGACATGAACCACACCCCACAGGCATACTTACTGTTCAGAGAGTGGAAAATACACATGGCAAGATAAAGCAGAGGTTGGAACCAAGAAATTTGGACCCAAGGCAGACAAGTTGGACCAACTGTTCTAGGCACTTCTCCACAGAGGGAGAGTCCCCCAGCTCTGATATCAGCAAGTTATGGGGTAAAGCCAGCTCTCCTGGCTCATAGCTCCACGCCGGACCCACTGCATGGAAATATTTAAATACTGAAAGGAGAGTAGCTCTAGAGTTAAGGTTGGTTTATTCAGTATTTATTGAGAACCTCTTGCATGCCAGGCCCTTCCCTAGCAGCTGTGAACAACTTAGATGTGATTCCTGCAAGCTTATAGTCATGTAAGCGAGATAGACAGTAAGCAAGCAAATGAAAACAAATTATTATACATGATGGTAAGAGCTATAAAAGGGAACAAGCAGGACACTGTGATAGAGGTTAGCATGGAGCGGATGGGCGGAAGTATGGACTTTCAGTGAGAACCTCTCTGAACAGGTGTCATTTACACTGAGGCCTAAAGGTTGAGAGAGAGGCAGTGGGAGAAGCAAATGTGAAGGCCCTAGGGTGGGCAAGAGCTTGGTAGGTTTGAGAAACTGTTAGAAGGTGGGAAATGGTGGCCAAGGAAAGTTTGGAGAGGTAGGAAGAAAGGGGGTTGCAAAGGCCTGTGGGCCATGGCAGATGATTTGGGGTTTTTTCCAAATGCAGGGGGAAACAACATGAGCCTCTTAGGCAAGAAATTGATATGATACACATTTAAAAATAGGATACTTGGGAAATGTGGATTCTCTGTACTGTTTTTAGGCTTCTAGTTATTGAATGCTTATTGCATTATGTTAAGCCTTTTATGGCCATTATCTGCTCCTTTCAGCAGGTCTCTGATCAAGTGATAGACACATGGGGTGTTTCTGCCTTTTGGCTATTGTGAATAATGCTGCAAAGAACGTTGGCATTTAAGTATCTGTTTGAGTCCCTGTTTTTGTTTTTTTGGGTATATATGTGAGAATAGAATTGCTGCTGGTCATATGATAATTCTATGTTTAGGTTTTTGAAGGAACCACCAAATTGATTTCCACAGCAGCTGTACCACTTGTCAGCTCTTGTTATTTTCCTTTTTTATTGCCATCATAGTGCCTTGAGGTGGTATCTCATCATGGTTTTGATGTACATTTCCTCAGTAACTTGTGTCAAACATCTTCTCATGAGCTTGTTACCATTTGTATATCTCCTTCGGAGAAATGTCTACTCATACTATTTTCCCGTTTGAGACATTAGGTTGTTTGTCTTTTGGGGTTCAAGTGGTAGGAATTCTTTATTTTATCAGACTTATGATTTGAAAATCTTTTCTCCCATTTTCTAGGTTGTCTTCACTCTCTTGACAATGCCCTTTGTTGCACAAAAATTTTTAAATTTTGATGAAGTGCAGTTTATCTATTTTTCTTTTGTTGCTGGTCGCGTACATGCCATGTCTCAGACTTCACTGCCAACTACAAGATCATGGAGGTTTGCCCCCACGTTTTCTTCTGCTTTCCTTCACATTTAACCATTCACTTCTTATCTAGATTTTAAAAGTTATTCACTTCATCCAGCCAACATCAGAAACATGGGAAGCTTGGTTAAGTAAGTGCTGGTGTCTGTCCTGGAGGGCTAACATAGTAGTGGGGAAACAAACCCGTGTGACCGTATCGTAGAGAGCTCCACCAGTCCCTCCCAAATGTCAGTCTGAGGATCTTCACTGGTTCACCAGTGTTTGTGGGGAAGAAAAGCAAATTTTTCATAAAGCTACATTTTTAAAATTTAAGGAACTGTCCCTTATTATGCAAGTAGTTGCTTGCTATGATGCTAGAATGTTCTTATGACCTGTGGCTGAGAGTAGATGCTGATAGTTTCTTTAGATGGCTCTACAGGGAAGAGTGATGAATCTGTGTCAGACTTCCAAACTTAGAGGAGGGAAATAAAAAACTAAACTATGAAATTCAAGGTTAGAAGCCACACAGATGCTGGGGTTGGTTTATGTGCGCCTACAAAGCATGTTGGGATCCCTCCCTGGGGTTTTTAGGGAAGGCCTCACAGGGAACAGCTAGATTCACTTTCTTCCTCAAATGTCTGACCCATTTCTGCTTCAATCATCATCTTTGTGCAGAATTTTTAGAAATGGAGAGTGGGCAGAAAGAAGAGCGAATCAAAGCTAGTTCTGTTTCTTAGCCTGGGTTCCTCTGGGCAGCCTCTGACAGATTCCTCTTACAGATCTTACCAGTGGTTTTTCTTTTTCATTTACTTAAGGTATATTTTTAAAAAGGAAGAAAGAAATCCTACCCAGAAAGGATTACTTTTTTTTTTTCTCATGGGAAAGAACACTCTGTTGTATCTGGGGACTGAATGAAGTTCTGCCAATGAATTCACCCTTGTAAAACATTGAAATTCTCCCAAACATACTAATTAAGATACCTTTTGTCTTCTCTGTTAGTTTTAGCTTTGAAGATACCATAAAAATGGCATGCTGCAAAATCGAGGAGCCAAGTTTGGAGGAAATGACATGGTCTCTCCTTGGCAATCAGCCTTGCACTTGAATGGCATAGTCTAGAGAGTGGTCTCCAAACTTTCTTGACCGTCCAAATGCCTGGGTTGTGCTATACAGTTGTGCAGTTGGATGGTTCCTTCTGGAGTTGTGCAGTGCACAACCTGTGTAGCTGTGAGCAGTGGTCTGATGCAATGCCAGCAAAAATAGAAATGAGCATAGACATTTAAGAGATGTATACTTGTTTATAAATTATTTATGTATGTGTCAACTCACTTAGATTATATATTATAAATAATATATATAGATTACATATTACTAAAATTTGATTTCTTTCTTTTTTTGATTAAAAAATAAAAATGAATAATAGTTCTAACAAATTTCATCTGTGCCCCAGTGGGTGGTTTTGAACATCCTTCCAAGTAGGCGACCTACTTTAGAAACATTGGTCTAGGAAGAATTGGTCTAGGAGGACATGGTCTTCTCTTTGATTCAGGCAGGGCAACACATTTGTAGGGCAAGGTTGCTTCTTAGCTCTGGGGTACTTAGGGGTCTTACCCCTTCTGGTCAGCGCCTACATCCTCACCTGATGGTTTCCATTTCAGAGTACACAGTCATTAATGAAGGCTGCCCTGGAGCTGAGTGGAATATCATGTGTCGGGAGTGCTGTGAATATGATCAGATTGAATGCGTCTGCCCTGGAAAGAGGGAAGTCGTGGGTTACACCATCCCGTGCTGCAGGAACGAGGAGAATGTATGTGACTCCTGCCTGATTCACCCAGGTGAGTGTGGAGTGGAAGACCTCAGGTTGCCTTCATGTTTTCTGAGATCATGAACGGAATAGGCTGAACACTTAAATTCTGGCAGGCAAACATCAGGAGCTGTGATACTATGATTATTAAAAGCGGCTTAGTTCACTCCTTCTAACTACAGTCAGAGTAATTGGAGGAGTTAGTACTCTATTCAGTGTTAAGCTTGTAATCTGTGAATTCATCCACTCATTCATTTAACCGACTGAGCAGCTCCTATGTACCATGGCAGGCACTGCGGATACAGTGTTGAAAAAAAAAGACATTCCCTGCATTCCCAGAGCTTGTAGCCTGGTGGGGCTGGTGGGAGAGGAAACAGACAATACAGTGGGGTAAGTGCTCTGATAGAGAAGCACAGGGCTGTCTCCTGAAGATATTTTAGTAACACTGGAGATCTTTCAGTAAAGAGGTAAAAGCTAATTTCTCTTTAGCTCCAGTATGAAGAAAGGAGGAAGAAGGGCAGGACCGGAGGGGTTAGGGAGGACTAACGGGGACCTTAATCTGTACGGAAGCCCTATGGATGGAGAGAAGTGGAGGGATTTGTGAGAAATGAGAGTGGAATTGACAGTGATGTGGGATTGGTTGGATGGGAAGGGAAGGGAAGAGCAGAGGTCAAGGTGATGCTCTGGCTTGGAGTTGGACATCTGGGAGGTAATAAAATGAAAGCATCTTAGGGAGAGATGGGACCTTCCCAGACCAGGTACCCATTCCTTTGCCTTTACATCAGACCGAACCTGCCACCTTCTGAACTGTCACTCCTCCAGCCCCCACTATAGAGGGGACAGTGACTCTCCTTTTTCATGGGAGTGCCTATTTGCCTGGAGGCCAGTGTGGACACTGAGCCTCAGACTGACAATGGTGCCAATGTGATTAGCAGCTCACTGAACGTTTTCTTGGTGCTTTCGCACCCGCTGCCTTGTACATCTGGCTTTTCCCCGGGGAGTCTTACCTGTTTTCCCTTTTAGGCCAGATCAAAAGAAGGACCTAGAGAATTTCAAATACGCTTCCCTTAGATTGAAGACTGAAAGGAGGTTAAAAGTGTGCTTTTGGAATTTCTCTTCTTTTTACCTGTCTCCTGCTTTTACAAACACAGAAAATAATGCATGTTACTACCAGGAACTTTTCTCTTATGGTAAGCTATAGAAGAGGAAAGAAAATGAGGCTCACGTATACAAGTGATATGTCTAAACCAACTTCCTTCTTGAAAGAAGGTAATGCTGAGTTTTAAAATGAGAGGGACCTCAGTAAAACCTTTTCACATTTGATCCAGAAAAGAAACCCACTGCTCCAGTTCTCTGATGGTGAGTGTGATTTGTAGGGAAATAGTTGAATAACCCCTCTAAATTTTCTTAGGAAATTTTAAAAGCAAAGCTAAGGGCCTCCCAACTAAGGGTCCTTGGTGGTGGTATTGATGTGTTTGAACAATTTGCAATCTTTTCAAAAGCCTAGTGACTACTGTTGGGCGGAGGGTAGGGCTTTGGTGTTATGAGATGACATGGTCATATGATAAGAGAACTTCAGAGGTGGTGTTCTGTGCCTCCTATTGCGTCAGATGGAAGGCAATCAACGCCTGCCTCACCTGCACCCAATACCTTCCCACTGCATCATTTGGAGGCACCCAGCATCACCACCTTGAGGGATGCTAGGACTGATCTGTGGATCTAAGCAGTGAAATACTATCTCACACCCACCATTTGGTCTTCCTGAAAGGAAGGAACAGCTAGATAAAGGCTTCTTCTTTTTTCCCTAATTTTCAACTAGTGAGTTAATACCCTAGCAGTCCCTATTGGTGATCAAACAGGTTTCTTTGTGTGTGTGTGTGTGTGTGTGAGAGAGAGAGAGAGAGAAAGAGAGAGAGATAGAGAGAGAGAGATTATTGACTCGGGCATTTTTATTTATTTGTGTGATTTAATCCATTTCAGTCATTATTCATTTTAATACAGGTATCATTTCATCTTAGGACAGTGGGAGCCCCTATATCCTCCTTTGTCCTTCTGACACGGCCACACCAGTGTTTGAAGGCTTCCTTGATGTCTCCCCTGACAGGACGTATCAGGCTCTGGTTTTCTGTCCAGTTCTGGAATCAGCCATTTCTCCAAGGAACTCCGGTCTGAGACCACAGTCTCGGCACCTGAGATGTTCTTTGCTATTGGACTGTCATTGCTACTAGGTTTTGTTTTGTTTTAAGCAGATATAAGTATTTTTTTTAAAAGAAAAGTATGAGTTTCTGCTGATACTCAAGTTCAAACGTAATATTCCAAGTTTGTTTAATTAACTTTTTTGATTTTATATACTGCATCTTTTCTCTCAAGGTGAAAAGCCTATTTCCTGATAATATTAACCTGATCACTTATTTGCTTTATATTATGAAATAATATAATTGTACAAAATAACAATAGTACTGTTAGTACAAACAATGAGACCACTGATGTTTGTGTTTGTTATTGACCTTAGAATAGATCCCATCGGTATATAGTAAAAATGCTGTGTTTTAAAGCCAGTTGGTACAGTTTTTTTCATCTGTGGTGATATACCACTTATTTAGTATATAGTTAGCTTTATTGTTTCCATCTGTTTGGTTTTTTTTGGGTGTAGGAGGGAACCAAAATTATAAAATAATTCTGAGATGGCGAAGAGGAAATGGTAAGAAACTAAAAGGTTTCTCTTGCTTCTCTGCTCCTATGAATGATATCCTTGCTCTTGGAGGACAAAGCCAAGCCAACAGACCAAAGCAGGGTGCTTGACCTTGTCATCTTTCCCCATTTAGGGGTCATTTAGTTAAAGATAAGAACAGATCTGCATGGCTGTTTAGGATCAGTGAAGCAGCTGGACTATATAGAAGTCTTTTCACCTTGTTTTTCGTGTTTGTTAAATAGGGTATTAATGCTTGCCTCACAGAGAATTGTAAGAATTAAATCAGATTATGGAATTAAATAAAATAAGAGGAGGTAGAAAGTTCCAAAATAGTTTCTGGATATAGTAGGCAATCAATAAATATTAAAAACCATACAACAAGCTACATAGAAACATGTCTGGGAGGCTACACACTAAGGTTTTCCTGTCAAGGAGGTATCTACATAAGGAAGGCACTTTTAACTTTTATTGAATACATTTTTACTTCACCCATCATAGAGCATTTGGGGAAAGTTTGTTGTATAAGTATTAATGAGTGTGTGTGGAGGCTCAAGTTGAATGTCAAGATCAGATATGAACTAATAAAGAATGTGACATTTTGTAGCCCCGTCTTTGTGTGATTGTAAACTTTGTACTCAGTACCCTTAAATCAGTTGAGAGGCGTTTGGTGGCAAGCAACAGGAACTTACTGGTTAAGTGGAGAAGCACAGCTGGGATTTGAAAGGAAGATACTGGGATAGCGACCAGTTTCAGTGGGAGAACTGAAAGTTGGGCACTGGAAAGCACCAGAACCAAGCAGCCCTGGGAAGGTAAGCAGGAGGACCTTCTCTCCAAGGTGCAGGTAGAAGATGCCTCAGCTCCAGTCACTTTCCATTCATGCTTTTACTTTCCAGAGAAGGAATCTGGTTGGTCCATTTTGGGACAGAAGTTTCTGCTTTTGGCACATCCAGTTTTTGGATGTGACAGGACAGGCAGTATATGAGGGAGCGTTCTCTGCTGGACTGTCATTCTGTATGTGTCCACCCTCACACTGCTGTGTTGACATCTTGCATTATTTTTTTTCCAATGATAGTTAAAGAACAGTGGAGCTTTTATGCAAATCAAAATACAATACTTCTAATTTTAGAGATTCCTATGATATGAAAGAATGTATCCCATAGGATTATATTAAATGAAACTTTATTTGAAAAATACTCTTAAAATTATAATGCTATGCTTACTTGGATAAGGGACTTGTAGTATCAGCTAAATAACAGTAGCTAAACCTAAAAGAGATAAATCAAAATTAGTTTAAAAACAGGAACACCTGCAGAGCTGTGCCATGGCTGTAGGTGGTCAGGAACTGGCTGCCCTGAGCTTAGTCACACCTGCAGGTCACCCCTGCCCCGGGGCCCTCACGATGACACCCTCCTCCTTCCTGGTGGGCCTGAGGATTCAGGGGATCCTGGGACAGGTTGTGGTCTTCATGGGCTGCAGGTGGAGCAACAGGAGCAGAAGGGCTGCTTGGGAAAGGCTGCAGGTTGGCCTGGGCGTTGGCCAGCATTTGTCTGATGCGGTCGCCTTCTCTTCTTAACTTCAGGAGGCTTCTCTTCTCTTCTTAGCTTCATGACGTTTCTCCTTGTCAGCACGGATGCCTTCCAGCTTTTCTGAATCTTTTTCTCATGCAAGAGGAACTCCCTTTGGTAGACGGACCTGGTTCTCTCCAATTCTTTGCCCATGTCTTCAGCTATCTTGTGCAGCTGGAGAATCTGAAACTCGGAGCTCCAGTTCCTGCAGAAGCTGATGAGTTTCCTCTTGATTTCTGCACACCTCCTTTCCTCCTTAGCGATTTGGCTCTCAAGTTGCATGGTACGTTCTTGGTGTAGTTCAAGCCAACTCTGGAGCTTCAGCTGAAGTAGTTGACTTTCCAGCTGGAGGACTTAACACCTCAGAGATAATTCCTCTGCCTGGAGGGTGGCTGTTTGTTTTCTCAGATCTTCATTCACTTGCTTTAGTTCTCTCAATGATCTGGCTCTCTCAGGGCTTTGAGGGGACACAGAGGAGTCAGCATCATGCATGTCAGCCTTCAGTGCCACTTCTGACCTGGGCACACGGTGTTTGCAGTTCCCCACTTCCCGCTTTTGCTTGACTTGCGGGTTCCTGCCATCCAGGACATGTCTCAGGGGCACAAGTGCAGGGATGGCATGGAGCAGGGTCTCAGCCACTGACAGCAGTCAGCTGACTCCCTCTTTCAGGTCCTGCTCCACACGTGTGTTTGACCGCAACAGTCCTTCCTTCTCCTCCTCCTTTTCCTTCAGCTTCTGCCTGCATCTTGCAATGTCCTGAGCGAGCACTTCTGC